TTTTTCTTTGAAGACTTATAGTTTTAGCTTTTACATTTAGATCTATGTTCCATTTAATTTTCTTATGTGAAATGAGGTAGGAGTCCAGGTTCATTTTTTTCCATGTGTTTTTTCAGTTGATTCAGCAATGTTTGTTGAAAAGACTTTCCTTTCCTATCCAACTACTTTGACATTTTTGTTGACAATCAATCAGTTGACCATGTAAGTGTGGGTCTGTTACCAAAACTCTTTTGTGTTCTGTTCTATGCCTATCTTTATGTCAATATAGTACCATACTTTCTTGATTTCTGTAGCAAGCTGCTATGGTTTGAATGTTTGCCGCCTCTGAAACTCATGTTGAAACTTAATCTCCAGTGCAAAGGTACTAGGAGGTGTGTCCTTTAAGAGGTGATTGGGTCATGAGGGTTCTGTTGTCATGGATAGATACATCCTTTCCACGGGTTAGTTGATTAATGGGTTACCATGGGAGTGGGTTAGTTATCAGGAAAGTAGTTCTGTTATAAAAAGCCGGGTAGGTTCTCTCTCCTGAGGCCCCTCACCATGTGGTACCCTGTACCACACAGAGACTCTGCAGAAAACCCCCACCAGCTGTAAGGCCCTCACCAGATTTCACCCTTAGACCTTGGGCTTTCCAGCCTTCAGAACTGTAAGAAATAAATGTATTTTCTTTATAAATCACTGCATCTTGGGTATTCAGTTATAATAACAGAAAGCAGACTGACATAAGTCAGTATCAAATAATATCAGTTCTCCAACTTTGTTATTAAGAGAGTTCTTTTTCAAGATTGTTCCAATTCAAAATCATTTGCATTTTATTCATGCTTTAGAATATTTGTTAATTTTAAAAATTGGGATTTTGTTGAATCTATAGACCATTTGGGAAGGGTGGAGATGTTAATAATATTGAGTCTTAATTCTGAATATGGATCTCTCCATTTATTTGGTTTCTTTAATTTTGCAATGTTTCAGTACAGAGGTCTTTCCGTATTTCATTAGCTTTATTTCCACATTTATAATACTTTTGATACTATTGAAAATGGTATTTTTTTCCCAATAAAGAAACCATTAATCTTGTGTCTTGTGACCTTGCTAAATTCACTTTGTTCCACTATTGTTTTTGTAGATTCCACTTTCTATGTAGATTATTATGTTTTCCATAAATAATGACAGTTTTTTTTTTCCTTTATAATCTTTTCATGTTTTATTTCTCATTTGTGCACATGGCGGTCGCTAGAACTCCTTGTACATTTTTGAATAGAAGTAGTATGAGAATGTATCCTTAGCTACTTACTGATTTGAGAAGGAAAGAATTTAGTATTTTACAACTCAGTGTGATGTTATATGTACATTTTTTTATAGACAGCATTCACATTCATGGGTTAAGTCCTACTCTTAGTTTGCTGAAAGTTTTATCATAAATGAGTGTTAAATTTTGTTAAGAACTTTTGATGCATAAATTGAGATGTTCATGTGATTTTTTTTTTCTAGTCTCTTACTTTATATAAGTTGAATTTTGAGTGTTAAACCCATCTTGCATCTCTCTAATAAATCCCACATGGTCATGATATTTTAAAATATATTGTTATATTTAATTAGCTAATATTTTGTCATAGATTTTTATATCCTTGTTCATAAAGAATAATGGAAAATTTACTTATATGCTAAATCAATGGACTATAATTTTTTGTAATATCTTTGTCTAGGTTTTTTTTTTTTTTAACTAGGGTTGTGTTGGCCTCATAATAAAAATTGGGGGGAGTTCACTTCTTCTTTATTTTCATTTAATTCCACTGAAACAAATAGTTTTATTTTATTTTTTTCCCTTGACTGTTTTGTAGAAATTGTTGGAAGAAATTACTGTTGAAGCTATCTGGACCAGGAGTTTTCTTTGTGGGAATGTTTTTGATTAATAATTTAACTTCTTTATTAAATAATTGGACCAATTTCAATAAATAGTGTTTTTCAAAGACTTTGTTCATTTCGCCTGTCCAGTTACCCTTTTAATGTTTGTAGGATCTAAAGTGGTGCTTTCTATTTGAATACTGACTCAGGCAATTATTTATGTTTTCTCTGTTTTTTCTTGGTTATAATTACTAAGGCATAGCAGTATATTTATTTGTCCAAATAATTAACTTTTTAATTATTTATTTTTTAAATTGTCTTTCAAATTTATATTTCATAGCTTTTTTACTTTTTGGGTTTAATTTATTGTACTATTTCTAGCTTCTTAAGGTGGAAGCTTAGATATTGGTTTCATTTTTGTTTAATATATGCTTTTAAAGCTAAAATTTCTCTCTAAGTGCTGCTTTAGCTGTATCAAAAAATATTTGATTTAAAAAATTATTGAGTTTGAAATATTTAAAAACTTCTTTGGCTTTTAAAAACTCATGGATTATTTAGAAGTATGTTGCTTAATTTCAAAGTATTTTAGGACTTTCACTTCTGAAAGTCTGTAGGACAACTACAGATCCTATAGATAACAGAAAGATGATGAGTGGAGAGGTGAAATAGCCAAAGTCCTAGAAAAATACTATTTATTGAAGCTCGTCCAATTATCTACTAATAAGTTACATTTTTAATAAAACGCTTTTCAACAAAGAAAACTTCATATCCAGATGCCCTTTGGTCAAGGAACACAATCAGTATGGTTTCAATTTTTTGAAGTCTGAGACTTGTTTTCTCTCCAGCATATTGTCTTTTTGGTGACTGTTTCATATGCATTACAAAATGATATGTTTTCTTCTGTTGTTAGTTGGAGTGTTTTGTAAATATTAACTAGGTGAAGTTGGTTAATAATAGTGTTGTCCAAACCTTCTGTTCCACTAATTTTTTCTGGTCTAATTAAATAATACTGAGTGCTAGATATTAAAACCTCATTATTTTTAATGTGTCTCTGCTTATTTTTTTTTCATTTTTTTGTTTCATATATTTAGAAGCTTTAATATTAGATGTCCACACATTTAGGATTTTTATCTCTTTCTGATTGAGTGCTCAGTTTATTACTAGAAAATTTCTGTCTAAAATTCTTACTGCGCTCCCTCTGTAGGTAATGTATCATTTTTCCTATGGCCAGTTTTAGGAATTTTTTTTTTTTTTGAGATGGAGTCTTGCCCAGTCGCCTAGGCTGGAGTGCAGTGGCCCGATCTCGGCTCACTGCAAGCTCCGCCTCCCGGGTTCACGCCATTCTCCTGCCTCAGCCTCCCGAGTAGCTGGGACTATAGGCGCCCGCCACCACGCCCGGCTCATTTGTTTTGTAATTTTAGTAGAGACGGGGTTTCACCTTGTTAGCCAGAATGGTCTTGATATCCTGACCTCGTGATCCACCCGCCTCAGCCTCCCAAAGTGCTGGTATTACAGGCGTGAGCCACCGCGCCCAGCCCAGTTTTAGGAATTTTATATTTTATTTTGATTTCAGTTGATTGTACATGATGTACGCAGGTATGATTAACTTTGTGTCTCACTTGGGGTTTGCTGAAGTTCTTTGATCTGAGAATTGGCGGCTTTCATTAATTTGGAAATTTTTTGGCATGTCTTTTCAAATATTTCTTCATTCTCTCCTTTTTCATGAGAAAAATTTACTTATATGCTAAATCAAGATCACTTGATATTGTTCCATAAATTCTAGATGCTCTATTCCTTTTATCATGTTTTTATGCCTTGGGGTTTCATTTTTTGATAATTTCTATTCACTTATCTTCAAGTTTACTTATCTTTTCCTCCAATGGATGCAGGTAAACCCATTGTATAAACCATTTTCTGATGTATATTTAATTCCTAGAATTTTTCTTTGTATCTTTATGTATAGTTTTCATCTTCCTTCTGAAATTTTCCACATCATTGTACATGTTTTCCATCTTATTTACTAGATTCTTTAACGTACTTATCATTGCCATTTTACAAACACTTTTTGCTACTTCTGATATTTAGGATTTAGGTAATCTTTGAATCTGCTTATGCTGTTTTTCTCCTGATCAGGTATAAAAATTTCTTGCTTCTTTTCAAGTCATGGCCACCGTTTTATATTTGAGAAAGTCTCTGGCTACCTGGATAGGAAGAGGGGCAGACTCTCTCTAGGCTGTTCTATACTGTTTCCAACTTTCTATGTACTACTTATCTACTCTGTGTATTTAGTTAAGGCTCACCAGAAGAAACTGCTGAATGAAGGAATGCTTGTTTTGTGGCAGAAACTCCTCAGATTTCCAATCTGTTACACCAGCTTTGAGTGATTTTTTACATGCTATGGCAAATTCCTTCTCATCAGTATTCCCTTTCTGCCAGAGATTAAAGCAGTTGTGAATCACTTCTATATGATGAAAGGTTAATAACTTCTGGAATTTAGTTCTTTTGGGTTTCTTTAAATTATTTCATTTCTGCTGAGCTTAAAAAGCATATGAATTTGTACTTTATCTGGTATGTCCTCGCTGTGAATGACAGTCTCTTGCAACTTTCTGCATTCTAACCAGAAATGAAGTTCTAGGACTTATTTTAGATGGTGTATGAAAACTATGAAACTGAGTGTTTATGAATTAAATAAGAGAGGTCTTAATGTTTACAATTTTATCTTATTTTAAAAATTAAATTCTATCAGCTGTATCTTAGAAATATTTTCACTAAATACTCTTTGAGTGTCCCTTAAATGCAAGCCATATTTAAAAGAAAAATGTTTGCTAATATTCAGATAGTGAAAAGAATGAGATAAGGTTCTACAGGCTATGCCCAAAGGATAAATTCTAGTAAATATTTTGCAAAAAGCTCAAATTTTAGAAAATGTGTATAAGACAATTATGAATTAAGATTTATCATGCTCTTCAGCCGCTATTCATTGTCCTCCTGCAATAATATATTTAAAATTTGGCTATTTTAAACAGATTTAAGTTAATTCTAATAGTCACAAAATTAACTGTATTTCAACTGGGTCTTGTAATTTCAAAATGTAAATGTATAATGGCCAGATGTTGACTTTAATTAATATATTTAACTTGCCTTTTTTTTCTCCCTAGGAATCCTAAAACCAAAATTTTAGAACGAAAACAGAAACATGGCTCACTATATTGCATTTCTCTGCACGGTTTTGGTGCTGCTTCTTCAGAATTCTGTGTTAGCTGAAGATGGGGAAGTAAGATCAAGTAAGAACTATCAGCATTGTCCTTTTTTGTTATCAATAAATTAATCTGGAAATTAAACTAGGGGAGTTCAAGTAATGGTTTTAAGGGTCTCATTCTTACTGTTTTTGATTCTGTAACTCCCTAAAATAAATGAATTGCTATGTTACTCATTAACTGAGAAGAAAAGCTTCCCTCAGAGATAATTTTGAGAGGGCTCTATGGCAATAGTTTATTCAACTAACACATCAAGCTTTGGAACAAACAGTCTGGTATTGAGTCCATGTTCAGCCACTTTTGAGCTGCATAATAGGAAGATAAAGAAAGCCTTGTAGATTGGTTATCAGGACTGAATGAGATAATGCATGTTAATGGTTTAGCACAGTACATCTCAATGAATGTTGTTATTGCTTGTAAGAAAGCTTGCATATAGAGATAAAGAACTATAGTAATTATAGTTCTCTTACCCAGACTATCGTTTAGAGATAGCATACTTTTTTAAAAAAAAGTTTGCTTATATTCACATTTTAAAACTCATAAACATTCTACTTTAAATTAACTATGGTCTCTATAAAAGTTAAATGAGATGGTTTGATAATTTGATTCAACTTGGCTTAAAATTTATTAATACAATGATATTTAAAGCTTGCTTAACACTTTTATAGTTTAATTCATGCAATCACTCTATAATGTGTATACCCTTTCCTTTGTTTTTTTTTTTCTTGGGTGGGAAAAGGGATTTTAAAAAGTTAAGGGGCTTACCTAGTAAAATACAGCTTGTGAGGGCAGTAAGTAGTATTCGAACCATGTTTTCGCTCTTCAATCACCTTCCTTTTCTATAATGTCATTCATCTCTCTAAGGAAGAGGTTCTCAGGACGGATATTATGTCTAGGGCTTATTAATGGCATTATTTGCTTGTGTGCCCATGCTCTTGACTAACTTTGCAGTTATGAAATACATGTTCTGTGGCTCTGTGACAGGGAGAAGGGTAGGAAGGGCCAAGAATAACCCTCTAAGAGTGAATCAGGTGGCACACAGACACTAGCAGCTTCAGACAACAATGAGTCTCAGTATTTAGGAAGGGCCAACATTGAAAAGCTCTGCCAACAAACTCTTCTATCCTTTCGTCTCCCCACACAAAAAACAAAAAAACAAACAAAAAAAACAATAAAAGCATAAACCTTTAATCCCAGTCCATCCAGCTTCCGAGCTTCCAAAAATAACAGAAAAATTGCATTCCCTTGGGTTAGCAAGTTTGCCTCTGGGCAGAACTCCATTTCTGCTGTCCCTTCCTTGACCCCTGGCAGTGGCCACCATGGCAGAGCTTGTTGGAATTGTGTCCCTTACACCTTCTGAGGATACTACCACCTGTAGTAGAGCACTTTAGGAATAATGTCATAATCACAGATACATTTTTGAGACAAATCCCTATTTTGGCAATTCTTTTTATTTTTTGAACTTCTTGACTGTTACAAATTTAGGAGGGGGTGGCAACCTAACTGTGGAAGGTCAGAAAAGGTTTTATGGTAAAGCTGACAGGCAATCAGGGATCTGAAACAAGAGTATTAGTCAGGTAAAGAGGAAGACATTCTAATAAAAGGGAAGGGCAACTGCAAAGGCCCAGAGTTGGGAGACTAACACAGACTAAAAGATAAACTGGTTTGTTGGGGCAATTCCGATAGTTTGGAATGGCTAACAAAATGCACAGAAAAGAACAGCTATATTTGTCTTCTTCTGTAACTTCTGTACTCAAATCAGCAATAATAGCTATTATTTATAGCCCATATGATAATGAGATAATTTTATATTCATGCTTCGTTTTACATGTAGCATGCTAGCATTTATCACAGGGAAAGTCTTTTTCTTTTTTTTTTTTTTTGACAATTTTTAAAATTATACTTTAAGTTCTAGGGTACATGTGCACAACGTGCATGTTTGTTACATATGTATACTTGTGCCATGTTGGTGTGCTGCACCCATCAACTCGTCAGCACCCATCAACTCATCATTTGCATCAGGTATATCTCCCAATGCCATCCCTCCCCCCCGCCCCCAAAATAGGCCCTAGTGTGTGATGTTCACCTTCCAGAGTCCAAGTGATCTCATTGTTCAGTTCCCACCTACGATTCAGAACATGCGGTGTTTGGTTTTCTGTTCTTGTGATAGTTTGCTAAGAATGATGGTTTCCAGCTGCATCCATGTCCCTACAAAGGACACGAACTCATCTTTTTTTATGACTGCATAGTATTCTATGGTGTATATGTGCCCCATTTTCTTAATCCAGTCTGTCACTGATGGACATTTGGGTTGATTCCAAGTCTTTGCTATTGTGAATAGTGCCGCAATAAACATACATGTGCATGTGTCTTTATAGCACCATGATTTATAATCCTTTGGGTATATACCCAGTAATGGGATGGCTGGGTCATATGGTATTTCTAGATCTAGATCCTTGAGGAATCGCCATACTGTTTTCCATAATGGTTGAACTAGTTTACAATCCCACCAACAGTGTAAAAGTGTTCCTATTTCTCCTCATCCTCTCCAGTACCTGTTGTTTCCTGATTTTTTAATGATTGCCATTCTAACTGGTGTGAGATGGTATCTCATTGTGGTTTTGATTTGCATTTCTCTGATGGCCAGTGATGACGAGCATTTTTTCATGTGTCTGTTGGCTGTATGCATGTCTTCTTTTGAGAAGTGTCTATTCATATCCTTTGCCCACTTTATGATGGCGTTGTTTGTTTTTTTCTCATAAATTTGTTTGAGTTCTTTGTAGGTTGTGGATATTAGCCCTTTGTCAGATGAGTAGATTGCAAAAATTGTCTCCCATTCTGGAGGTTGCCTGTTCACTCTGATGGTAGTTTCTTTTGCTGTGCAGCAGCTCTTTAGTTTAATTAGATCCCATATGTCAATTTTGGCTTTTGTTGCCGTTGCTTTTGGTATTTTAGACATGAAGTCCTTGCCCATGTGTATGTCCTGCATGGTATTACCTAGGTTTTCTTCTAGGGTTTTGATGGTTTTAGGTCTAACATTTGTCTCCAATCCATCTTGAATTAATTTTCGTATAAGGAATAAGGAAAGGATCCAGTTTCAGCTTTCTACTGATGGCTAGACAATTTTCCCAGCACCATTTATTAAATAGGGAATCCTTTCCCCATTTCTTGTTTTTCTCAGGTTTGTCAAAGATCAGATGGCTGTAGATGTATGGTATTATTTCTGAGGGCTCTGTTCTGTTCCATTGGTCTATATCTCTGTTTTGGTACCAGTACCATGCTGTTTTGGTTACTGTAGACTTGTGGTACAGTTTGAAGTCAGGTAGCATGATGCCTCCAGCTTTATTCTTTTGACTTATGATTGTCTTGGCAATGCGGGCTCTTTTTTGGTTCCATATGAACTTTAAAGCAGTTTTTTCCAATTCTGTGAAGAAACTCATTGGTAGCTTGATGGGGATGGCATTGAATCTCTAAATTACCTTGAGCAGTATGGCCATTTTCACGATTTTGATTCTTCCTATCCATGAGCATGGTATGTTCTTCCATTTGTTTGTGTCCTCTTTGATTTCACTGAGCAGTGGTTTGTAGTTCTCCTTGAAGAGGTCCTTTACATCCCTTGTAAGTTGGATTCCTAGGTATTTTATTCTCTTTGAAGCAATTGTGAATGGAAGTTCATTCGTGATTTACCTCTCTGTTTGTTACTGGTGTATAAGAATGCTTGTGATTTTTGCACATCGATTTTGTATCCTGAGACTTTGCTGAAGTTGCTTATCAGCTTAAGGAGATTTGGGGCTGAGACGATGGGATTTTCTAAATATACAATCATGTCATCTGCAAAGAGGGACAATTTGACTTCTTCTTTTCCTAACTGAATACACTTGATTTCTTTCTCTTGCCTGATTGCTCTAGCCAGAACTTCCAACACTATGTTGAATAGGAGTGGTGAGAGAGGACATCCCTGTCTTGTGCCAGTTTTCAAAGGGAATGCTTCTAGTTTTTGCCCATTCAGTATGATATTGGCTGTGGGTTTGTCATAAATAGCTCTTATGATTTTGAGATACGTTCCATCAATACCGAATTTATTGAGCGTTTTTAGCATGAAGGGCTGTTGAATTTTGTCAAAAGCCTTTTCTGCATCTTTTGAGATAATCATGTGGTTTTTGTCTTTGGTTCTGTTTATATGCTGGATTACGTTTATTGACTTGCATATGTTGAACCAGTGTTGCATCCCAGGGATGAAGCCCACTTGATCATGGTGGATAAGCTTTTTGATGTGCTGTTGAATTCGGTTTGCCAATATTTTATTGAGGATTTTTGCATTGATGTTCATCAGGGATATTGGTCTGAAATTCTCTTTTTTTGTTGTGTCTCTGCCAGGCTTTGGCATCAGGATGATGTTGGCCTCATAAAATGAGTTAGGGAGGATTCCCTCTTTTTCTATTGATTGGAGTAGTTTCAGAAGGAATGGTACCCGCTCCTCCTTGTACCTCTGGTAGAAATTGGCTGTGAATCCATCTGGTCCTGGACTTTTTTTCGTTGGTAGGCTATTAATTATTGCCTCAATTTCAGAGCCTGTTATTGGTCTATTCAGGGATTCAACTTCTTCCTAGTTTAGTCTTGGGAAAGTGTAAGTGTCCAGGAAATTATCCATTTCTTCTAGGTTTTCTAGTTTATTTGCATAGAGGTGTTTATAGTATTCTCTGATGGTAGTTTGTATTTCTGTGGGGTCGTTGGTGATATCCCCTTTATCATTTTTAATTGCGTCTATTTGATTCTTCTCTCTTTTCTTCTTTATTAGTCTTGCTAGCGGTCTATCAATTTTGTTGATCTTTTCAAAAAACCAGCTCCTGGATTTATTGATTTTTTTGGAGGGTTTTTTGTGTCTCTATCTCCTTCAGTTCTGCTCTGATCTTAGTTATTTCTTGCCTTCTGCTAGCTTTTGAATGTGTTTCCTCTTGCTTCTCTAGTTCTTTTAATTGTGATGTTAGAGTGTCAATTTTAGATCTTTCCTGCTTTCTCTTGTGGGCATTTAGTGCTATAAATTTCACTCTACACTATGTTTTAAATGTGTCCGAGAGATTCTGGTGTGTTGTATCTTTGTTCTCATTGGTTTCAAAGAACATCTTTATTTCTGCCTTCATTTCGTTATGTACCCAGTAGTCATTCAGGAGCAGGTTGTTCAGTTTCCACGTAGTTGAGCGATTTTGATTGATTTTCTTAGTCCTGAGTTCTAGTTTGATTGCACTGTGGTCTGAGAGACAGTTTGTTATAATTTCTGTTCTTGTACATTTGCTGAGGAGTGCTTTACTTCCAACTATGTGGTCAATTTTTGAATAAGTGAGATGTGGTACTGAGAAGAATGTGTATTCTGTCGATTTAGGGTGGAGAGTTCTGTAGATGTCTATTAGGTCCGCTTAGATGTCTATTAGATCTGCAGAGTTGAGTTCAATTCCTGGATATCCTTGTGAACTTTCTGTCTCATTGATCTGTCTAATGTTGACAGTGGGGTGTTGATGTCTCCCATTATTATTGTATGGGAGTCTAAGTCTCTTTGTAAGTCTCTAAGGACTTGCTTTATGAATCTGGGTGCTCCTGTATTGGGTGCATATATATTTAGGATAGTTAGCGCTTCCTGTTGAATTGATCCCTTTACCATTATGTAATGGCCTTCTTTGTCTCTTTTGATCTTTGATGGTTTAAAGTCTGTTTTATCAGAGACTAGGATTGCAAACCCTGCTTTTTTTTGTTCTCCATTTGCTTGGTAGATCTTCCTCCATCCCTTTATTTTGAGCCTATATGTATCTCTGCATGTGAGATGGGTCTCCTGAATACAGCAAACTGATGGGTTTTGACTCTTCATCCAATTTGCCAGTCTGTGTCTTTTAATTGGACCATTTAGTCCATTTACGTTTAAGGTTAATATTGTTATGTGTGAACTTGATCCTGTCATTATGATATTAGCTGGTTATTTTGCTCGTTAGTTGATGCAGTTTCTTCCTAGCATCGATGGACTTTACATTTTGGCATGTTTTTGCAATGGCTGGTACCGGTTGTTCCTTTCCATGTTTAGTGCTTCCTTCAGGGTCTCTTGTAGGGCAGGCCTGGTGGTGACAAAATCTCTAAGCATTTGCTTGTCTGTAAAGGACTTTATTTCTCCTTTGCTGATGAAACTTAGTTTGGCTGGATATGAAATTCTGGGTTGAAAATTCTTTTCTTTAAGAATGTTGAATATTGGCCCCCACTCTTCTCTGGCTTGTAGAGTTTCTGCCGAGGGATCTGCTGTTAGTCTGATGGGCTTCCCTTTGTGGGTAACCCGACCTTTCTCTCTGGCTGCCCTTAACATTTTTTCCTTCATTTCAACTTTGGTGAATCTGACAATTATGTGTCTTAGAGTTGCTCTTCTCGAGGAGTATCTTTGTGGCGTTCTTTGTATTTCCTGAATTTGAATGTTGGCCTGCCTTACTAGGTTGGGGAAGTTCTCCTGGATGATATCCTGAAGCATGTTTTCCAACTTGGTTCCATTTTCCCCCTCACTTTCAGGCACACCAGTCAGACGTAGATTTGGTCTTTTCACATAATCCTATATTTCTTGGAGGCTTTGTTCATTTCTTTTTCCTTTTTTTTACTCTAGACTTCTCTTCTCGCTTCATTTCATTCATTTGATCTTCAATCATTGAAACTTTTTTTTTTTTTTTTTTTTTTTTTTTTTTTTTTTTTTGAGACGGAGTCTCGCTCTGTCTCCCAGGCTGGAGCGCAGTGGCCGGATCTCAGTTCACTGCAAGCTCTGCCTCCCGGGTTCCCGCCATTCTCCTGCCTCAGCCTCCCGAGTAGCTGGGATTACAGGCGCCGCCACCTCGCCCGGCTAGTTTTTTTTTGTATTTTTTAGTAGAGATGGGGTTTCACCGTGTTAGCCAGGATGATCTCGAACTCCTGACCTCGTGATCCGCCCGTCTGGGCCTCCCAAAGTGCTGGGATTACAGGCTTGAGCCACCGCGCCCGGCCTGAAACTCTTTCTTCTAGTAGATTGAGTCGGTTACTGAAGCTTGTGCATTTGTCTCGTATTTCTCGTGTCATGGTCTTTGTCAGTTCGTTTATGGCCTTCTCTGCATTGATTATTCTAGTTATCCATTCTTCCATTCTTTTTTCAAGATTTTTGGTTTCTTTGCACTGGTTACGTAGTTCCTCCTTTGGCTCTGATAAGTTTGATTGACTGAAGCCTTCTTCTCTCTACTCGTCAAAGTCATTCTCCGTCCAGCTTTGATCCGTTGCTGGTGATGAGCTGCGTTCCTTTGGAGGGGGAGATGCGCTCTGATTTTTTGAATTGTTTGAATTTCCAGCTTTTCTGCCCTGCTTTTTCCCCATCTTTGTGGTTTTATCTGCCTTTGGTCTTTGATGATGGTGACGTACTGATGGAGTTTTGGTGTGGGTGTCCTTTCTGTTTGTTAGTTTTCCTTCTGACAGTCAGGACCTTCAGCTGTAGGTCTGTTGGAGATTGCTTGAGGTCCATTCCAGACCCTGTTTGCCTGGGTATCAGCAGCGGAGGCTGCAGAAGATAAAATATTGCTGAACAGTGAGTGCTGCTCTCTGATTCTTGCTCTGCAAGCTTCATCTCAGGGGTGTACCCCGCTGTGTGAGATGTGAGGTGTTGTTCTGCACCTAGTGGGGGATGTCCCCCAGTTAGGCTACTCAGGGGTCAGGGACCCACTTGAGCAGGCAGACTGTCCGTTCTCAGATCTCAGCCTCCATGCTGGGAGATCCACTGCTCTCTTCAAAGCTGTCAGACAGGGTCATTAACATCTGCAGAGGTTTCTGCTGCCCTTTTTTTTTTTTTTTTTTTTTTGCTATGCCCTGTCCCATGAGGTGGAGTCTACAGAAACAGGCAGGCCTCCTTGAGCTGTGGTGGGCTCCGCCCAGTTCGAGCTTCCTGGAGGCTTTGTTTACCTACTTAAGTCTCAGCAATGGCAGGCGCCCCTCCCCCAGCCTCGCTGCTGCCTTGCAGTTAGATCTCAGACTGCTGTGCTAGCAATGAGGGAGGCTCCGTGGGCGTGGGACCCTCCCAGCAAGGTGTGGGATATAATCTCCTAGTGTGCCATTTGCTAAGACCCTTGGTAAAGCACAGTATTAGGGTGGGAGTTACCCGATTCTCCAGTTGTTGTGTTTCTCAGTTTCTAAAGGGATTCCCTTCCCCCTTGCACTTCCCAGGTGAGGTGATGCCTTGCCCTGCTTCAGCTCTCGCTGGTTGGGCTGCATCAGCTGACCAGCGCCGATTGTCTGGCACTCCCCACTGAGATGAACCTGGTACCTTAGTTGAAAATGCAGAAATCACCCCTCTTCTGTGTCGCCCACACTGGGAGCTGGAGGCTGGAGCTGTTCCTATTTGGCCATCTTGCTCGCACCCCCCGGGAAAGTCTTTTTCTTTCCACAACTGCTTATAACTTGTTCAAATGTAACTTGCACCAAAGATGGTATTTTTTCCCCCAAAAAGGACCTTAGGATGTGCTGACCACATGTGTTTCCTGGTAACTCGAAACAAGAATCTCTATCTCTACTAAGCAAGGAATAGCTTTATACCTTTAATCATAGATTGTTAGGACAATTTGATGCTCTGACTATATCATTCACTGAATATGAGACATCAGACCTTTAGAAACTCATCTTGGATATAATGCAAGAGTTGATTCATTGGGTGATCTTGGTTCATTTAACTTTTATCAACTATTAATATATCAAAGATGAAATTTTATTGGCTAGCTAAGTCCTGAAGTTGGTAGAAAATCTGTTTTTAATTTTTTTCTCCCTATTGACTGGCTTATATTTTTGTAAATATTTCAGGTTAGCATTAAGCTACCCATATTTCATTGACAATTTAAAATAAGCAATGATGTTAGTGTATAGCTGAAACTCATAAATTTAAAATCTCTCCCTTTTTGCTTTTTATATAAAAGATGTGCTATGATGGTTTTCTTTTGCACTTAGGTTGTCGTACTGCTCCGACAGATTTAGTTTTCATCTTAGATGGCTCTTATAGTGTTGGCCCAGAAAACTTTGAAATAGTGAAAAAGTGGCTTGTCAATATCACAAAAAACTTTGACATAGGGCCAAAGTTTATTCAAGTTGGAGTGGTTCAATATAGTGACTACCCTGTGCTGGAGATTCCTCTTGGAAGCTATGATTCAGGAGAACATTTAACAGCAGCAGTGGAATCCATACTCTACTTAGGAGGAAACACAAGGACAGGGAAGGCTATCCAGTTTGCCCTCGATTACCTTTTTGCCAAGTCCTCACGATTTCTGACTAAGATAGCAGTGGTACTTACGGATGGCAAATCCCAGGATGATGTCAAGGATGCAGCTGAAGCAGCAAGAGATAGTAAGATAACATTATTTGCCATTGGTGTTGGTTCAGAAACAGAAGATGCTGAACTTAGAGCTATTGCCAACAAGCCTTCGTCTACTTATGTGTTTTATGTGGAAGACTATATTGCAATATCCAAAATAAGGGAAGTGATAAAGCAGAAACTTTGTGAAGGTAAGCCTTAAAATGCCTTAATATAATTTGGAAACAATTAATAATTGTGCTTTTTACATTTTGATATAACCTCTGCATTAACACTGGTGTAGATCGTTGTATTTAATGTCAATTATAATGTTACAACATTTATAATGTTATAAATGTTATATTTACACTGTGAGCACAAATTTTTTGTGTTATATGTATTTAGGATAAATTTTGGTTTTAAAAAATAATTTACAAATCTACATATGGAAAATACAATATTTTGTAACATTTATTATTTTTCCTTTCAATTATAACATGTCTATGGTAGAGATTGTAGAAAAAAGGCACAAAGAATAAAAATATATATAAATCACACATAATTGTATCACCCCATTAATGAGTTTTTCTATATTTTACATTCTAGTTTTTTTCCTTTTTTCCCTGGTATGTTTTATTTTACTCTTCTGCCTAAATCAAGATACTATTGCATATATAGTTTCCTACTTTGTTTTTGTAGTATATACTCTTGTGTATAAAATTTTTATACTCTATTCACATGATAGCAGGCAAGTTCCTACTGTAATTTATTTTAAATTTTTCCTGTTTTTGTACATTTAGTTTATTGTTTTGCTAATATAAACGACAAAAATGAATATTCTTGTACATAGTTCTGAGCTAGAATTTCATTATTTCTTCAGAAAAAAAGCTTCAAATTACTGACATATTTAAAGTTAGGGAGAAACATGTTAAAATTGCACTTTAAAAAAGCTTAATTTCCCTTTCGCACAACATTTGAAAATAAAATAACAGTTTATTAATTATGTTTATGTTGTTTCATAAAATCTAACTTCATGTTCATGATAATTGCATGGTATGGGAAGGTCCCAGTTTTGGTAAATATTAATCCTATTAAGGCATAGACATGCTAATGTTCACATTATTTTAGGGGAGAGTAATTTTTTATATCTCTTATTTTTTAATAATATAGGTATTTAGTGTACCGTATTAAAGTAATATTCATATAAAGTGAATATTAGTTTGTCTACAAAAGCTCCCAAAGTGGGTGGCTTCACAGTTGACAAAAAAATCCTGTGTGTTTCTGGGTTAGGAAACAAATTATATCATTCATTCCTCTGTTTTCTTCACATTTGCTTGTGGGATATGGTAGAGGAAAACATTTTTAAATTTTCGTATTTAAGAGACTATAAAAAATTAAACATCTTCTTCCATGAAACTTTAACTAAAGGTACTATAACTACAAATCGCCACTACAGTTCTTTTTATGAATCTCTAGTGGTAAGATTTTGTTGACGTTTATCATCCTGAACAGGCAAATAGGATTTAAATTTTTAATATGTGGTCATATTAGTTAGAATTCTTTGGTTTTGAAGCCAGGTATTTTTTCATTCTTAAAACAGACTTTTCCTGGAGAAATTTCATTTATCATTCATTTTTATCTTTAAATGTAAATGTAACTGATACAATGTTTGTTCAATATTTGCTTCAGAGACTTTTTCTGTGGATCTGTATTTTGGTAGATGCATTCTATTTTAATGATTCTAACTACACATGAAAGAGTAGGTGTGCTTAAAAGAGTTAAACATTCTTTTAGCTAAGATGTATCATCTATAAACAATCAAAATTGCAATCTTGCCAAATATATTTTCATTCACACTCGAAAAGATGTAAATAATTTCTGTGACTAATCAGCACGTATCTGCTGCACAATAGCCATCTTTTAAAATGTTTTTGAAATTGCACTTATGGAATTTATATGGGTGTTCTGCACTTGACTTTTTATACTTGATTAGAGTATGATTAATGCAGTAAACTAAAACATTGCTATATTACAACAGCCACAAACCATGTAATCTGTGTTTGAATCATCTGACAAATTCACAAATGCTTTTTCTTTGATACATACTTAACTTCTACTTTGAAGTGTTAACATGTAGGATGACCATTTCCTAATACTGTTTATTTTTACACTCTGCTGTAGTTAAATCACAATGAACAAAATATTATTGAGTTAAGTAATATTTACCGCAGTTTATTTCATCTTTGTGGACCTATGATTTCTCTGGAAGAGTTGTATCTAATACTTTCCTTTCTCTGATGGGTGATGATTCCTTTATCTGTGTGAAAGACTTCTGCTGCTGCTGCTGCTGCTACCACTACCACTACTACTACTACTACTACTACTACTGCTACTACTACTACTTCTACTCTTACTACTACTGCTACTACTACTACTGCTACTTCTTTTTCTTCCTCCTTCTCCTTCCTGCCTCCTTCCTTCCTCCTCCTCCTTCCTTTTCCCCCTTCCTCCCCCTTCCTTCTTCTTCATTTCTCTTTCCCCCTCATATAAAAGACATTAACATGAAACCTAGTCTCCTAACATTTTTTAATGTACAGTATTGTGAATTATAAGCACAATGTTGTGCAGCATATCTTTGGAACTTTTTCATCTTGCTTGACTGCAACCTCCATACTTCCTTCCCTCCCTCCTTCTCTCCCTTCCTTCCTTCCTTCCTTCCTTCCTTCCTCCCTCCCTCCCTCCCTCCCTCCCTTCCTCCCTCTTTTCCTTCCTCTTTCTTTTTTTTTTTTTTTGATAATGGCCAGCCTAACATGTATGAGGTAACATTTCATTGTAGTATTGATTAGAATTTTTCTAATCATTAGTGATGTTGGACATTTTTTTCGTATACCTGAGGCCATTTGCATATCATTTTTGGAGAAATGTTTATTTAAGTCCTCTGTCCATTCCTTAAACAGTTTTTTTCTGTTGCTGAGTTGGAGTTTTTTATTTATTTTGAATGTTAACCCCTTATCAGATATATGGTTTGCAAATACTTTATCCCACTTCATAGATTGCCTTTTTACAGTGTTTTTTTCTCCTTTGCTGCACAGAAGCTTTTTAGTTTGCTATAATCTCAGTTGTCTATTTTTGCTTTTTTTGTTGCCGGTAACTTTGGAATAAATTCAAGAAATCATTACCAGACTGATGTTATGAAGCTTTTCCCTAGTTTTCTATTAGAAATGTTATAGTTTCAGGTCTTATGTTTAAATCTTTGAGTTGTTTTTTGTATGTGGTGTGAAATAAAGGTCCAATATTATTCTTTTGTGTGTGGATATCTGGTTTTCCCAGCACCATTGATTGAAGAGATCCTTTCCCCATCAGGCAGCCTTACCACCCTTGTCAAAGATAAGTTCATTGATGCATGCAAGAGTGTTTTCTGGGCTCTCTATTGTGTTCCATTTGTCTATATGTTTGTTTTTATGCCTTTACCGTACTGTTTTGATTACTCCAGCTTTGCAATATATTTTGAAATCAGGAAGTGTGAGGCCTCCAACTTAATTTTTGTTTCACAAGATTGTTTTGACTGTTTTAGGTCTTTTGAGGATTCATATAAATTTTAGGAATGCTTTTTCTATTTCTATAAAAAATGTCATTGGGATTTTTATAGGGATTGCATTGAATCTGTAGATCACATTAGGCAGTGTGGAGTTTTTAAGTAATATTGTCTGCCAATCCATGAACACAAGATATATCTCCATTTATTCCTTCTTCAGTTTCTTTTATCAATGTTTTGTAGTTTTCAATGTACAAGTTTTTTTGATTCTTTGGTTAAGTTTATTTCTAAGTATTTTATTATTTTTATGCTTTGTAAATGGGATTATTTTCTTAATGTGCTTTTTAAATTGTTGTTATTGTATAGGAACGCAACTGATTTTTATATGTTGAATTTGTATTCTCCAACTTTGCTTAATTGGTTTATTCTAACCATTTTTTTTTTGGCATGGAATCTTTTATGTATAATCATTAGGGTTTTCTATATTTATTCATGCTATCTGTGAACAGAGATAATTTTCTTTCGTGATTTGAATCCCTTTTATTTATTTTCTTGCCTAATTCCTCTGGCTAGTACAATGTTGAATAGAAGTGGTGAAATTAGGCATCTTTATCTTGTTCCTTGTCTTAGAGGAAAAACTTTTATCATTTTACCATTGAGTATGATGGTGGCTGTGAACTTTTCAAATATGGTCTTTATTATGTTAAAGTAGTTTCCTTCTATTCCTTACTTGTTGTGTGCTTTAATCATAAAATAGTGCTAATTTTTGTCAATTTTTTCTGCCTCCATTGAGATAATCATATGTCTTTATCCTTCATTCTGTCAAAGACACATTTATTGATTTTATATGTCAAACTCTTTCATCCTGTGGATAATTTCCATTTGGTCATGGTGTATAATGTTTTTGATGTGCTGTTAAATTCAGTTTGTTAGTATTTCATTGGGGATATTTACATCTGTATTCATCAGTGATATTGGCTTGTAGTTTTATTTTATTATGGTATCTTTTTCTGGCCTTAGTATCAGGTTAATGCTGGCCTTATTCACTCCTCTTCAATTTTTAGAAAGATCTTAAGAAAGATAGGTATTAATTCTTCTTTAAATGTCTGGTAGAATTCACCACTGAAGCCACCTGGTACTAGGCTTTTATTGTTGGGGTGTTTTGATTACTGATTTAAATTTCCTTTAATCTCTAGTTATAGGTCTGTTCATATATTCTATTTATTCATGTTTCAATTTTGGTAGGTTTTGTGTTCTAGGAATTTATCCGTTTCTTCTAGGTTACCAAATTGTTGATATATAGTTGTTCATAGTGGTCACTTAAAATCCTTTTTATTTCTGTGGCATCAATTGTAACATCTCTTCTTTTACTTCTTGTTTTATTTGAGTCTTCTCTCTTTTCACTTAATCTAGTTAAAGATTTGTTATTTTGTTGATTTTTTTCCAAAAAAGCAACTCTTGGCTTTGTTGATTTCTTTCTATTTTCTATTTTATTTATTTCTGCTTAAATCAAAATTATTTTTTTCTTTCTGCTAACTTCGGGCTTAGTTTGTCTTTTTTTTTTTTTAATAGGTCCTTGAGGTGTAAAGTTGTTTATTTGATATCCTTTTTCTGTTTAATGTAGGCATTTATTGCTATAAACTTCTCTCTTAGTACTGTTTTCCTGCATCTCATAAATTTTGGATGTTGTGTTTTTGTTTTCATCAGATATTTTCTAACTTTGTCTCTGATTTCTTCTTTGACCTAATGGTTGTTCAAAAGTGTGCTATTTAATTTTTACATATTTGTGAATTTTTCAATTTTCCTCCTGTTGTTAATTTTTAGTTTTATTCCACTGTGGTTGAAAAATACACTGGTGTTGATTTCAGTCTTCTTAAATAAGACATGTTTTGTGATTTAACATATGGTCTGTCCTGGAGAATGTTTCATGTGCAGTTGAAGGGAATATGTATTCTGCTGCTGTTTGGTGAAATATTCTGTGTGTGTGTCTGCTAGGTTCATTTGGTCTATGTTCAAGTCTTCTATTTCTTTATTGATCTTCTGTTTGAACGTTCTAATCATTATCAAAATCCTTTAGTATTATTGTGTTTCTGTCTATTTCTCCCTTTAGTTCTGTAAATGTCTGCCTTATATTTTTGTTACCATGGTGTTGGCTGCATATACAATCATAATTATTATATCTTCCTGGTGAATTGACCCTTTTATCATAATAGGATATCTTTCTTTGTCTCTTGTTATTGTTTTGTACTGTGTGATATAAGTATAGACATCTCTGATGTCTTTTGGCTACCATTTGCATGGAATATCTTTTTTCATTTTTTCACTTACAGCCTATGTGTGTCCTTAAATTTAAAGTGATTCCTTTTCATTTCTTTTCTCCTTTCTTTCTTTCTCTTTTCTTTTCCTTTCCCTTTTCCCCTTCCCCCCTTCCCTTCCCTTCCTTTCCCTTCCCTCCCCTTCTGCTTCCCCTTTCCCTTTCCCTTTCCCTTTCCCTTTTCCTTTTCCTTTCCTTTGTCTCATTCTGTTGCCCAGGCTGGAGTGCAGTGGCATGATGATAGCTCACTGCAGCTTCAACCTCCCAGACTCAGTCAATCCTCCCACCTCAGCCTCCTGAGTAGCTGGGACTACAGGCACATGCCAACATGCCTGGCTAACTTTGTTGTTTTTGTTTGTTTACTTTTGTTTTTGTTTTTGTAGAGATGGAGTTTTGCCATGTTGCCCAGGCTAGAATCTTTTATAGATAGTACATAGTTGGATTTATAGCTCTAAACCATTCAGCCTCTCTATGTACTTTGATTAAGGAATATAATCACTTACATTTAAGGTAATTACTGATAGGAAAAATTATTATTGTCATTTTGGTAATTATTTTCTATCTTTCCTGTAGCTTTTTGTCCCTTTTTTTTTTGTTTACTGTCTTCCTTTGTGTTTTATTGCTTTTTTTATGGTGATGTCCTTTATCATTTTATTTATCTTCCACAAATATTTTCTTTGAGGTTATCATAGGGGTTATATGAAACATGTAATTATAACAACTATATTTTAAGTTGGTGTGAAATTAAATTACATATAAATATTCTATATTTTTACTACCTCTCCTTTGTTACTGATGCCACAAATTGCATCTTTTTATATTTTATATCTGTTAACATATTTTTAAGTTACAGTTTTTAAAAATGCTTTTGTCTTTTAACTTTTACAACAGAATTAAAAGTCATTTATGTACCACTATTACAGTATTACAGTATTCTGTCTATATATTTACTTTTATCAGAAAAATTTATACTATCTTATGCTTTTATGTTGCTGTTTAGTATACTTTTGTTTGATCTTGAAGGACTCCTTGAGAATTTCTTATAAGGCAGGTCTGATGGTGATGAACTTCCTCAGCTTATATTTATCTAGAAAAGTCTTTATTTCTCCTTCATTTTTGAAGAACAGTTTTGCCAATCATAGCATTCTTGGTTGGCAGGTTTTTTTTTCTTTTTTTCCTTTCAGCACTTTGAATATGTCATCCCACTCCTGGCCTGCAATGGTGCTATTGAGAAATCTGCTGATAGTCTTATCAAGGTTCCCTTGTACATAAAAAGTCTCTTTTTTTTTCTTGCTGCTTTCAAAATGTGATCTTCGCCTTTAACTTTTGACAGTTGGATTATAATATGTCTCAATGTGGATTTCTTTGGGTTTAACTTAGCATATATTAGGCTTCTTGAATTCGAGTGTCCATATCCTTTTCCAGATTTGGGAAGTTGTTGGCCTCATTTCTTTCTTCTTTTTTTTTTTTTTTGAGACAGAGTCTCGCTCTGTTGCCCAGGCTGGAGTGCAGTGGTGCCATCTCGGCTCACTGCAAGCTCCACCTCCCAGGTTCACACCGTTCTCCTGCCTCAGCCTCCTGAGTAGCTGGGACTACAGTTGCCTGCCACCGCGCCTGGCTAATTTTTTGTAATTTTAGTGGAGATGGGGTTTCACCGTGGTCTCGATCTCCTGACCTTGTGATCCGCCCGCCTCGGCCTCCCAAAGTGCTGGGATTACAGGCGTAAGCCATCGCGCCCGGCCGGCCTCATTTCTTTAAATAAGCTTTTTGTCCCCCTTTCACCCTCTTCTTTTTTTTTTTTTCCCTGGAACTCCCAAAATGCATATATTGGTGTGCTTGATGGTGTTGCATAAATCTCTTAGGCTTTCTTCACTCTTTCTCATTCCTTTTTCTTTTTGTTTCTTTTTGTTTCTCTAACTGGATAATTTCAAATGCCTGATTATTGAGTTTGCTGATTCTTTTCCCTCTGCTTGTTAAAGTCTGCTACTAATCATCTTTAGTAAATTTTTTCAGTTATGGTATTCTTCAGCTAAAATATATCATACTTATTACTTATATAGCTGACTATGTAATGCTAACGATTGTTCTTCAGAAAATACTCTTTATAAGTATGATTAATATATAATTAATTATAGAAGAGATAATATGTCCAATTGAAGAACTTTCATGACTAGATGGGACCCAGGTTAAGTTTTTCCAGAGAGATAGACTAATGATATTTGAACTGTAGAAATATAAACTGCTTGAACTGGAAAGAAAATCAAGAACAGAAAATAATTTTTACCCCTGAAATGCTAAGAATGCAAGAAAAGAATTTCAGTGTTCATTTTTGAATTCAATAAATTAAGAGCATTATCCAAAGTTGTATGACTAGTTGATAGGAAATCCTGGATGAGAATCACCAATCCCGTTCCATTGTTTTTCTTTTCCATAGGTGTTAGATTGTCTCATATTGCTATTGTCTCAAATTTTTGCTAAAGACAATACATTAACAAATATTTATCTTATATTTTTGTTTTACATTTATTCCCCATTTTTAGAGAAAAAAAGCATATTAAGATCTCACTCTTAAATGTGTAAAATACTTCTACATTTTCTCAGAAAATGTATTCATGTACATTTATATACTATACATTTGTATACATATGTAGATTTTATAATTCCAATTATAGAATACTATATTGTTTAGTATTTCTCCCTTGATTTTTCTTTTCTTGTTTGAGTTGTCCATGATTAATCAACTTTTATTGCTTTTGCTTTATAGAATCTGTCTGTCCAACACGAATTCCAGTGGCAGCTCGTGATGAAAGGGGATTTGATATTCTTTTAGGTTTAGATGTAAATAAAAAGGTTAAGAAAAGAATACAGCTTTCACCAAAAAAGATAAAAGGATATGAAGTAACATCAAAAGTTGATTTATCAGAACTCACAAGGTATATATTGTATGTTGACACAACTTTTTGGGGGGCATATGTCTATGGACATGTCAAGAATTCTTTAAGCTTACACTTGCTCTTCTTTTTGTAGCAATGTTTTCCCAGAAGGTCTTCCTCCATCATATGTATTTGTGTCTACCCAAAGATTTAAGGTCAAGAAAATATGGGATTTATGGAGAATATTAACTATTGATGGAAGGCCGCAAATAGCAGTTACCTTAAATGGTGTGGACAAAATCTTACTATTTACAACAACCAGCATAATTAATGGCTCACAAGTGGTTACCTTTGCTAGCCCTCAAGTTAAGGTAAAGATGCCTGGGATAATACCATGATTATGATATTAATGGGGAAGCACCATTGGGTTTATGTGTGTTGGGAAAAAGAGGGCTGTAATTTTAACATGACTGGAAATATTTTTACCTTAAATTTTAATGTTTCTGTATTGAGGAAAACTAACAAACAAAGGAAAATTGTTTCTTGATCAATATGGGGACAAATGCTGAGGGGAACTGACATATTCTGAGTGCCTGCTACTAGGTACCAGGCACATTTAATTATAGCCATCCAGTAAAGAAACCATTGCTCCCATTTTGCAGACGAACTAATATTCAAGTATGTTAAGTTCTCCCTCAAAGTAGAACAGCTAATAAGTGATGACATCAGGAATTAAATTTTGGGTCTAGATGACTTCAAAGTCCATATTGGTCTGTTTTACACTGCCATGTTCTACAGGATATTTACATAAAGATATATCTATTAGGATATTAAATACTGGGTAGATAATAGACATGAAATTTACCTTAATTTAGGAGGACATTTTATTTCCCCAAATGGAATACATATTTAATAGAATATATAAACTTTAAAAAGTTTATTTTCAAAATCATGTTTTCAGAATCCATATGCAATAATAAAAGTAATTAAGTTTTGCTCATTATTATAATTATGATAGTCTAAAGGCATATTACACAGTTTAGGAAATATATATGGTAACATAAAGTATGCAATTTCTTCATTTAGTAAGTATATTACATTAAAAATATTTGTTGTCTGCTATCTTCATTAAAGCCAATGTGCCAGATTCTGTAAGAAATGACAAATAAATAAGGCATGTTTTTTACCTTCAAGGAGCTTATTTATAATAGGATATTCAAGGCAACTGGTATCAAATAGAAGTACAAAATGTTAGTGGAGTGTGGATGAGAAAATGTGTTCTAACATAAAGTAAGAGGAAATCTGCACAAATGAAATAATTTTTGAACTGGACCATTCAGGATGTATAGCATTTTGATGGAGATGGATATAAGAGCACATTAAATGATTCAGTATTGAGTCATCATGTGTCTAATAAAATGCAGGGTTTTTATTTAGAGAATGCAAAGTGACTCTCTGGTGTTTAGAGTATAAGATGCATGGAAGAAAAGGCTATCTAGGTGCAAGCCCAATTTATGAGGGGCCTGGAAAGCCATATAATGTGGTTTGGACTTTATTCAGTGAATGTTTCATCAAAAGGTCTTGACCATAAATGTGTCAGGGTCAAGGCAATCTTCTCTACTTATTTTTCTTCATTTGTCCATAAATAATACTTTCAACTTTATCCTAAAATTAGGCCAGATCCTTGGGATACAGAAATTAATAAGATGGAACATCTCCCCTAACAGAACTGTAGGGAGAGAGATTAATTCTAGTGGTGATCTGAAGGATGGCTTGGAAATGAAAGGGTCAGAGATTGAGATAGATTTGAAAGTTATTGAAGTAAAACAAGAGTTCCATGAGCCTAAATTATGGTGGTGACAATGAAAATGAAGAAATGAATTTGAGTCATGTTGAAGAAATATATTGGGTAGAACTCTGCATCTGGTTAGTTACTGCAACTCAAAGAAAGAAACTTATGTTTAGAGGATGCTATTATGTAGGGAAATAGGGTCAGGAATAAAATTTCTGGGGAGTAGTTCAAGTTTATTTTGTTACATACCTTGTTGGGCTAATTGTGAAACATCCTGAAAAATTATTCCACCTAGTATTAGAATTACAGGACCCATGCGTAGGAGAGGTACAGGCTGTTAGTGTAGACATGGGAGTTATTACATAGCAGTGATAATTGGCCTGGAGGAATGACTGAGTCAAAAAGAGAGAGTGAAAAATGTCCAGAACAGACCTATGAGGAATGCCCTCATTAAAGGGTAGGTTGAGGGAGAAGAACACTTAGAGACAGAGAGAGAGAATCAGCAACTAGAGAGGAAGAAATGAAAATGATCAAGATGGTTTGAATCCCAGAAGTTGAGTGAGAATATCAAAGAAGATTGATTAGTTATGGGGCCCAAAGTTGCAATGAAATAAACAAGATGAGGCAGGAGAGAAGCCATTTGGATTCAGAGATTATTAAACTATTTATGATTTTGAGGAAGTTGCTTTAGTAAGTTATTTGACACAGTTTCTTTGAAATATGTAATAGGAACTCAGATAAGGATTAATGAAAGAATTGGTGGATAGCATATGAGGTCCAGCTTGGGTTAGGATGAATTAATGTATAATACAGTCAGTCTTTGTGGGATGAAGTTTCTCAGCAATGGTTAGGAGCAAGGCAGTAAGAACAAAGAAAGTAGCATATTGTTAGGGGCTTTATTGATGAATCTTCCACACTTTCTTTTTGTAGACGTTGTTTGATGAAGGCTGGCACCAAATTCGTCTCTTAGTAACAGAGCAAGATGTAACTCTGTATATTGATGACCAGCAAATTGAAAACAAGCCCTTACATCCAGCTTTAGGGATCCTGATCAATGGGCAAACTCAAATTGGAAAATATTCTGGAAAAGAAGAAACTGTTCAGGTAGATAAATAATGATTCACTCTTTGAATTATATAGAATGAAACTTTTGCTCTCTTTTGTAATAGTTTTCACCACATTTAATCATATTTAACTTAATTATGAATTCCCTTAAGTTGTTCACCAAAATGTGGTCAGTTCGTTAGTGAAATTTTGTGTATGTATATGTATTAAAATGCAGAATTGGACTTAATCTATTTTATAAGAATATTTAGAAAAATGTTCCCCTGGGTTCAGGATAGAATTCTACATTTCTAGGAAACATTAATTTCATGTTTCCCAAGAGAAACATAGTTTAAGTAATGAATTTGGAAAAGAGAATATAGTTTCATCTGTAAGTGGGGCTGTAAAAATGTCTTTGTAGCTGCAAGGATAAAATTAGATTAATTCATGTCAGGGTTCTTCACAAACAAAACTGTTCCTTAAAAATAAAGCAATTGTGGTATGTTCAAATTATACGTACAAGTTTTGTTTTGACTTTTTGATACCTTCTTAAACTGGAGTATCTGTTTTTGGATGGAGAAATGTGTCTGTAAACGCCATTTCTAGAAAAATCCTTTATTTGAAAAGGTATGTCCCTCCTGCACTGTTTCTATTAAAGGAAGACTCTGTCATTTTCATACGTGTGTTTACACATGTGGTCTCTATGAATTAATCCTACATGTCAAATTGTAGTAAATAGTTAAACATTAACAGGTGCTGGGCCTACTAATCACACAACGCTCCATGCCGGCAACTAAATAGCGAAGACCAAAGATGGTTTCTTGAGTCCACCCTATACCATCAGGAATGTTGTAGAGATTAGGATAAACACAGAAAACTGGGAAAACTTTTAAGTGTCCTACAAAATGCTCTTTAGATTAGCTTTTAATACAGGAGTACTAAAAAAGCCTCACTGAATTCCGGGAGAAAATTGGAGATTTGCTCTCGGTGCTAGGGAATTTTTCTTCAGTGGTTATGTCGCATCACACATCTTCATAGTGTATGTTAAGTATTAAAATTTTGTATTTTTATTGTTTTAGTTAAATGCTGTGATGTAAACCTTACACAATTACTAACCATAGTGGATGTTTCTATGTATCTGAGTTGCTCTTATAAAACAAGTTGCTTGTGCCTCAACTTTAATTCTACTGGGTTTATGTTTTTAGTTTGATGTCCAAAAGTTGCGAATCTACTGTGATCCAGAACAGAACAACCGGGAGACAGCATGTGAGATTCCTGGATTTGTAAGTAGGAGGGATTGTTTTTTTCCCAGATGTTGCTTTAGTACTTTCAAAGCAATAAATAAAAAACAGATAATATCTGAGTATTAATTTAATATGTAGAATTAATTTTATTTTTTAATGCTAGTGGAAGTGAAGTTGCATGAAGAAAACGTATTTTGAGGTTATAGTTGAAATGAAGTTGTTATATGTCATTGTGCAAGTGTGAATGAAAGACCACAAGAAAATGTTTTCTTGTTTTGTTTTGTTTTGTTTTGAGTTGGAGTCTCACTCTTGTCACCCAGGCTGGAGTGCAGTGGCGCGATTTCGGCTCACTGCAACCTCCGCCTCCTGGGTTCAAGCAATTCTCCTGCCTCAGCCTCCCGAGTAGCTGGGATTACAGATGCCCACCACCACACTCAGCTAAGTTTTGTATTTTTAGTAGAGACGGGGTTTCACCATGTTGTTCAGGCTGGTCTCGAACTCCTGACCGCGGGTGATTCGCTGGCCTCAGCCCTCTAAAGTACTGGGATTACAAGCATGAGCCACCGTGCCCAGCCAGTAATGTTTTTCCCATCATCTATGACTATGACTATTCCAGTGCTCAGGTAAAGCAAGATGAGACCTGCTCCAGAAAAATGTAAGATGCTTTGTCTGAATGCCAGTGTGTGAAATGCATTATTATACTTAATGTAATCATGTATAATATAATATGACAATATAATAATGTATATTAAACATGTGGACAGAACACCCCAAACAGCACAGTTCTGAAGAGCAAGAAATAATTATTTTTCCTTAGTGAAATAATGAATAGATACTTTTCTTGTTGATACCTAAGTAAAAATTTATTATAGTTCTAGAATGTAAGCAGTGTTTCTAGTTATTTAGCTATTTTCATTAATGTGTTAGGAGGAAAAAGATTATAAGCTACAATGTTATAGCATCTCATGGTGTGTGTGTGTGTGTGCGCGCGCGCGTGTGTGTGTGTGTGTGCATGTGTGTGTAATCAATCCCCTTTCCCCTGGGCAAAAATTGGTGTATTACTGCTAGTGGAAATATGGTAGAATGTTGTACAACTTTTTGACAATGTGAATTCCCAGGGATATTTGGGTCAACCATAGTTTTTAAAATGTGTGTAGTTATGTTGTCATCATCTTCTTTTTTCCTATCAAATGGAATAATGTATGGATCCACATATTCTAAAACCTTGAAGCACAGAACAGCACATTGAAAAATTCTGTAATCAAACAGAATTTTCTAGAAAGGATTTATTCTGGGTTTTCTAGATAAATAACTGTTTAAGCACTATAGTTTTAGATATTTATAACTTGAAATATAAACCTCTTTTAAAAGTGTTAATAAGTCATGGCATTTGAGAATTCACTGTGCATACTTCATTTATTGATGTCTCTGCATTGACATATGATAATTACCATTATCCTCCCATATGATGAAGCACAGCTTTAGATAGCTGATTTTGAATGCTCACTTCCACTTTATGTTTTAATGTCTCCTTCCCTACTCTCAGGTGTGACTTTCTGTGGCCTGTTTGCCTTTTGTACCTTCAATCCAACCTTCTCATTTTTGAACTAATTTTTATTGTTTGGAAAGATGATTGTCCTTTTAAAATTGTGTGTTATTTAATAAAACACAGACTATTTTAGGAGAAGCTCTCCTAAAGTGCAAGATTTTAATGCATGCAGTTTGTGACTTGCTAAGATGTGTTTTGACATTTTTTTTTTCTGGTTCTTAAATGATTTCCTGAAATTTCAAGACAACATATAAATCTCATCTGGAAATATTTTTTATCTTGCACGGCTATTATATCAAGCAGCTCTGGTGTTTTAATTTTCTTCTTCTACTCACCTTAAAAAAATATATCCTTTCTGTATTCTCCTATATGAATGGAGTAGTAGCATGTATAGATAAGTGACTTTTTAGGATAAATACAGGGAAATATTTTGGTTCTTGTTGGTTTTCATACTTCATATATCTCTAATGTGGATGGTGAAATATCTGTAAATTAGGCTGATAATTTATAAATTTTATTGAAAACATTTTAATACACATTTGTTGTTTTTCTTTCAGAATGGAGAGGTAGGCTTGGATACTATTGTTCCCCTTAAGGTAATATTTGTATTGTGGGACCGTTTAGCTCTTTTCCAACAACTGTAAGTATGAATATTAGACAAATAGAACCCATTTTTATGTAACTTCAATGTATTTAATATTTATAGATTTTGTGATTTGGAATTTCCTATTGGGTTGGGCTAAATGAAATTTGAAAGTAAATGTAGGATATTTTTACCATTTTACACAAATATCGAAATGCATAAACATATGTGTGCATGCACCTATATGTCTTTCCATGCTTGTTGTCTGTTTCCATTTTTGTCCTTGTAGTGCCTTAATGGTCCCAGTGATGTAGGTTCAACTCCAGCTCCCTGTATTTGTCCTCCGGGAAAACCAGGACTTCAAGGCCCCAAAGTGAGTAACACCTAACTTGCTGTTTTTGTTAAGACACACAAACAAGAGCTGGGTAAACCATACAATTCCTAATCACCATTGATCCTGTTGAGAAATTTCTATCTGATGTCTTATATAGTTTAAAACCTCAGTTTTAGTCATTTTTTTTATCTAGAAAAACAAGTATATTCTAATCTAGTCTAGATTAGACTTTTGAACCTAAAACTGATATCTGTCATCCACATTAAACTGAGACAGTATTATTTGTTTGGTTGTTTTCTTTCTCCAAATACTGCTGCTAGATCCCAAGAACAATACTTCCTTAGAATCTGGTAAAAAATGAAGAAAGAGCATTTGTTAAGACATGGTCTGAATTCTTAAATGTCTGAATTCATAATTTGTCAAAATAATTTTTGGATGGAAAAAATGAAGTAAGAAATTTAAAATTGATTTTATTATTGTAAGTTTGATTTGAAGTTAGAGCCACGTACATTTATTTCACTTAATCATGTACTTTTGGGGATTATATTCTTTTAGTCATTTCCATATTTCCATATATGCACTTGTTCCAGTTACATTTACATATTACAAATGTACATATACATTTTTATATGATTGGAGCCATTGTGTGCATACTACTTTATAACTGGTTGTTTTATACATAATATGTTCTGAATATTTTTCTATGCAATTTAATATTAATGACTAATTTTTTTTTTTTTTTTTTGAGATGGAATCTTGCTCTGTTGCCAGGCTGGAGTGCAGTGGCACAATCTTGGTTCACTACAAGCTCCGCCTCGTGGGTTCAAGCTATTTCCCTGCCTCGGCCTCCCGAGTAGCTGGGATTACAGGCATGCACCACCGCGCCCGGCTAGTTTTTTGTATTTTAGTGGAGATGGGGTTTCACCATGTTGGCAAGGATGGTCTCGATCTCCTGACCTTGTGATCCGCCCACCTCTGCCTCCCAAAGTTCTAGGATTACAGGTGTGAGCCACTGCGCCCGGCCTAATGGCTAAATTTTTAAGTAAGTTGTGTTACTTGTGGCATCACTTAGACACAGCCTAAGTAAGACACTCAGAAGTGTAGTGGTTTGTCCATGATAGGTAAATCTTGTTTACTTAACATTATATTAAAATATCACCTAAATAAAATAATGTGTAACTTGAAAGCAGGTATGTTTCCCTAAGCAAAAAGATAATGTTTATGTGTATTGATCACCTCTTGCTTGAAGTAACCATAATCATTTTTGTTAAATATGAATTATAATGTTCATTTAGACTGAATTTTCTGATTAGTGTTTCAATTTTAGTATATATGCTGCCAAAGTCAGTTTGTAATTAGTGTTTCAATCGTCAAAACTGAAAAAGTTTTATTTTTTGGACTGCTGGTCCAAGATAATTTAATTCTTTCTTTTATGTATATTTCTCTATTCATTTCAGGCCTAACCATTAAAATAAAGAAAGATATGGAATTTAAGAAGTATACATTTGATCTGTCATTCAAAGTAAATCTCTGTCTGACTTTAAATTTGAATGCAATACATGATAATCAATGTATTATTGTAAATTATTTTTAGATAGCATTTAGAAAAGTTAATCCAAATCATCTTTAAAGTAACCACCTATTATTTAAGATATCTTGACATAAAGGAGAAATACCTATAAAATACTCCTGGGAGACTATAACCTGGAAGACACCTTGGTGTGTCCTACCAGTAGATTGTTTTAAAAATATATATTCATATAATTTATTCACCTTGGAATATTATACATAAAAATAATTTGACCTGCATTAGATATAATGTAGAAATCAGAGACCCGTGCTATCTGACCTATCAAAGCCTACACTGCTTTTCTGACTCTCAGTGAGATTCAAGCCACCTCCACCATATCCAGGGTCTCCAAGAGGCTGTTCACTTTTGGGAGGCACCTGAAGCCTCTGATGTTTTCTGATTGTCATTTGTGGTCCAATAGATGTCTTGTAGTGTCACCTATTTTTACTCATGTACTTTCTACACTAAATTTTTAGCACACCCATTGTCTTATCTGATGAAGCCTCTAATGTTTAATATTTTCAAGTTTCATGTGTTTCTCATTTTCATTTTCGTTTCTTAGTCATAATCTAGCCCTATTGCCACCTACTACTCTAAGTAAAATTGCAGTTTTCCACCAATCTTCAAGTTGGCGTGCCTTTTTGATCTGCTTTCCATTTTCTTCAGAAAATCTGGCAGGAGGACAGGAACACACACACACTCTTCCATCCATTTAGGGCTCTTTATTCTGGAAGTGGTTCCTTACCCAGAACACGGACCTGTATGTAAAAAACAGAATCCCTAGCAACCCTCTTAAGTTGCACTTCTTTCCTGGCTTTGAAAGTTGATAGAGTTTTAATTAGTTCAACAGAACCTGAATTAAAACAGATGAGACAAGTTTACTTTAGGTTCCACTGAGGCTTATTGGCCATTTTTGCTATATGCTTTCTGGAAAGTTTTGCAGAAGTCCATCAAATAGAGTGACCTGTAAAGAACAGATCTAGCTTTTCTGTTAGCCAGAAATAGACTTTTAGGAGATAAGTGTGGGGTCGAGACTGAAACAGAGCAGAAATTTTTTTATCGATAAATGGGGAAGTGCTGATTCTAAGATAGTTTTTTTTTTTTTTTTTAAAGTTCTTTAGATTTCTGGAAAATGTGACAACACTGTGGCAAAACCAGGTCAAAATGACCAGGTACACCACACTTAGACTTATCATGTCATTGACTTTTTATCAGGCATCAAAAAATTATCTGTCACTAGACTGTGAGCCCCTGGAAGAATAGCTTATTTTTTATCCCTAATGACAAACATAGGGAATGATTAATGAATTCGTTGGAATCATTTGTATATGCAAGCCCTTCTTTTGTTCACAATAAAGGTTAATAAAAAGAAAATTCTCCTTTGACACTCTAGTCTGGCACAGTGCTTAACAGGAATAATTTTTGTTAAAGGAATTGTGAAATTGTCAAAACAATAAGATCCACCCCTCCCCCCATTTAACCTATGTGGAATGCGCTTCTGTTCTGCAAGAAAAATCCAGCTCAATCCCAGCTTGCAAATAACTTCCTTTCAAATGACCCATGTATGCAAATGACAGCTTCTTCCCCTACTTCAGTAGTCAGAGGAACATTTGTGGGAACAAACTCCTGCATTTGTTCTAGTCTTAAATATCAGAAGTGGAAAGAAGACATTTTTGTTTTTTTTAGGTTAGGACAATTTTTTAATAACTTCTTTGCTCCGAGATACCACTTTTACTATAGCCAATCTCTGTTGATACCCTTTGTTACACCCTAATAATTTTGCCAATTAGAGATTCATTGGGACTATCAAGGTACCCTCTGTCTAAATCACAAAAGCCTTTGGAAAATTTCAAGGGCCAAGGGTATTTACATTTTTATGTTAAAAGTTTTCAGACTGAGTAGAGTCCTTCTAGATTCAGGGCGTGGTACTTGGGTTCTGAGGGAGGAAAGAGGTTGGCTTTGGAGAATGTAATAAGTCTTAGGTCAGATGTTCTTGTGGAGACCAGAGGGGTAGCATGAAGGCATAAGGTTTTTGAAATGAAGGCTTATAAACATCATATTTGGGCCTATATGAAGAATTCCAAAGTTTTGCCTTGGATGAACAACTTAAAATATTAGCTTATTTTTATAAGCACAACTGTTTCATACTTTATTTATATTTACATTACTTAAGAGACCATATTCAGCGATGTTTTAGTTTAGTCCATGCATTTCCACTCCTGTCAACAACTTAAAAATCCAGTGGCACAAATTCAAATAAACATAAATAGATACTGCTTTTCAGCTGAGTACATATTTTTGAAAACTCAAAATGTACAAATGTTTCAACTAAATTAGAATAAGGTGGATTGGGAACTTAGTCACAGTTTTATAATAATAAGTCATGTGTCTAATTTAATGTATTGGGGAATTTTTTCCATATTAAATTTTCTAGCATTCCTCAGTCTGGTTCTGATCAGTGTATTATTGTAGATAGGAATGGTAGTGTTTAAGAGCTTGGACCCTGGAGCTGAACTGATTGGGTTTGAATCCCATCTCTATCACTGCTGTGTGACCTTGGGCAAGTTCCCTAACTTTCCCGGCCCTCAGTTTTCCTACATAGAAAATGGGAATAATAAAAGTATCTGCTTCATAGGATTATTATGAGAATTTGGTAACTCAATATATGCAAATCTGTTGGACCAGAGCTTAGTGCATAACAGTCAATAAAAGTTGAGTGTCAGCTTTTATTAAGAGTAATAAAATTAGCCTTCTCTCCAGTCAGCTATATTAATTAGGATTTTACTTTATCCTTCCAGTTTTTTAGGAACAATACCAAACCTACCTGAGTTTTTGCAAATAACTTAGTGACAGCAATAGTCAAAATAACCAGTAAAATCTAACAGCAATAGCAGAACCTACAAGAAATTATTTTCTTCTTGGGGCTGTTGACCAGTGTTATGGTCTTTATGAAGTCACATTGGATTTATCTTGTGGGTAATTTTTTCATTCGGGAACTTAATTTTGATTAACTGGAAACATTATTATTAAATATATTTTTCATAATTTTATGCAGCATAAAAAGCACAAGTCCTTTTTCTGTGCCAAATTTTTATTTCAGCCTGATGATGATAGAGATTAAACCCTCTCAAATCCTTTTGATATCTTAGGTTTTGCTGATAATTAATATTCTACAAATGAGTGGGTCAATGACAGATTGTATTTGAAGCACATCAGACAAAAAGTAGTTATTGAATCTCTACTTGATACCCAGCATTGTAGCAAAAAAAAAAAAAGAAAAAAAAAGTAAGGCCAGGCATGGTGGCTTACACCTGTAATCCCAACACTTTGGGAGGCGGAAGTGGGCGGATCATGAGGGTATGAGTTTGAGACCAGCCTGGCCAACATGGTGAAACCCCGTCTCTACTAAAATTACAAAAATTAGCTGAGCATGGTGGTGCATGCCTGTAATCCCAGCTAATTGGGAAGGTGAGGCAGGAGAATCACTTGAACCTGGGGGGTGGAGTTGCAGTGAGCCAATATCATGCTATTGCACTCCAACCTGGGTGACAGAGCGAGACTCCGTCTCAAAAAAAAAAAAAAAAAAAAAGTAATTCAGACTTCGCTACAGTCTCAATCCAAATGATAAATGAAGACTAACTAAAAGAAAACTTTGAGAAAACACTAGTTATGAATAAGTGATTTATGAGCTGTCATAGATTTTCAGTAGAAAAAGACACCAGGAAAAAATGGAGTAACAAGAAAGGTACAGTGAGGAGAATTTTCTTGTGTTAGCTCTAGAGTGGAAAAAGAGAAAAAAATTTATTCCAAGGAGAAGAAAAAGTTGGAATTTCTTGAAAGGTGGCCAGTCCAGTCAGCACATGGATAAGGAGGGATGGCAGGGAGGCTGGAGATGAATGTGCACCTTCTCAAAAATAAGAGAGAAATTCTAACTCCCTAGAGACAAAGTTGTTTCCTAATGCCCAGCCAGCATTGCAAGTCCTTGGATTAGAAATACAAATTAAATTTATTCAGCGAGACATTACATGGTTCAGCATTATTTCCCCCCCTTGAATTTACAACTCTTCTTTCTGTCTTTTAAAAATGACATTTGCCTTCTTCTCAGCCTTTCCTCAAGCTAAGCCTCTTGGGGGGCAGCTGCTAAGTGAACAGCTCATCCCTGCTTTATTGGTTCCTTATTAGAGTTCACTTAGTTCTTTCCATTTTTTTTTTCTCCTGTTGTTTCAGGAACAAATCTCCCTAGCCAGGAGTCTGAAGTAGTATTTCCATGAAATTTGGCTCTATAATAATACCTTAATCACAGCGTAGGTGATTGATTTCTATGTGAATGATTTCTTGATAAAAAATAGTAAAGAGGTCAGGCTCAGTAGTTCATACCTGTAATACCACCACTTTGGGAGGCTGAGGCAGGAGGATCACTTGAGCCCAGGCGTTCAAGACCAGTCTGGGCAACATAGTGAGACCTCACCTCTACAAAAAATATGAAAATTAGCTGGGCATGATGGCTTGTACCGTAACCTCAGCTACTTGAGAGGCTGAGGTGGAAGGATCACTTGAGCCTGGGAGGTTGAAGCTACAGTGAGCTGTGATCACACCACGGCACTCCAGTCTGGGTGACAAAGCAAGACCCCATCTCAAAAAACAAAACAAAACAAAAAAACCCCAAAAGTGAAGAATTAATAGAAATCATGTGCCTCTCTAGAGGGGACACCCTGATACTTATGGCAGCGACTTCCTATTTTTCAGCAGGATGCTCCATTTAGATTTCACGAATTCATAGATAGATACCTATGATATTTTTTGGTGTTTCTTAGAATTAAATTATAAAACATCCTTACCTCACAAAAAGTGTTGCTTTCATGTTGTTTTTACATGGCCACCTGAATGGTCAGTACTGGCCATTGGACAACATGGAAGAGTTCCGTAGAGTGTGACTGAGCTCATTGCCATGTGATATTAAACAGTGTTCTTTAAAGATCTTAGGTTTTTGAGGATAAAGGTTTTTTTTCTTCATGCAAATATTACATGTATTCAAGGATTATGGGACTTGGAATAGAGTTGTTTGGCCTGGGCCTTGCTCTCATAGTAATACTATATTAATTTGAGATTGCAAGTATAGACAAAGTAACACAGCAACACACTTACAGGATTGAAAGAAATGATAGTTACGCAGCTTTAAACTTGAATTCTACATGAGAGATCACATGGTCTACAGACTATTTTTAAAATAAATATGAGTTAAGTTGTATTGTAGGACATCAATATCCGTATATATAGAACCTATAGGATATAATGAAATCTATATGCTGGGCGCGGTAGCTCACCTAGCACTTTGGGAAGCTGAGGCAGACAGATCACTTGAGGTCAGGAGTTTGAGACCAGACTGGCCAACATGGTGAAACCCCATCTCTACCAAAAATATAAAAATTAGCCAAATGTGGTGGCACATGCCTGTAGTCCTAGCGACTTGAGAGGCTGAGACAGGAGAATCTCTTTAACCTGAGAGGTGGAGATTGCAGTGAGCTGAGATCGCAACACTGAACTGCAGCCTGGGTGACAGAGCAAGACTCCATCTCAAAAAAAAAAAAAAAAAAAAAAAAAAGGTCTTATGAGTCAAATATTGCTATCATGGAGACCATATTTGCTATGATACTTTACAGTTTGTTCAGAATTCTAAAAATATATCCTACCATAAATATGCACATTTTGCATCAGTGAAAAATACTTTACTAAGCATTTAAAATATGGCTTTTTGGACTTTTTTTTTTTTTTTTTTTTTTTACTTTTGTTTTTAACATACAAAAAGCCTCAAATAATGGAATTGGTTTTGAACTTTTATTGATCCTGACTGCACCAATGTGCCTGTTTGTTTTGTACTCAAAATTTGTTTGCTTCCTGCTTAGGGTGACCCTGGACTGCCTGGGAACCCTGGCTACCCTGGACAACCTGGTCAAGATGGTAAGCCTGTGAGTACTGAAAGCTTAGTCATCTCCGGTATATCTGGGATTGTAGTGTCAAAGTAAAAGTTTTGCTGAGCAAAGTTAAACAGACAAGGAAAGCTTTATTCACGACTGCTGCCATAGGAAGGAGAGACTGAACTCAACTTTGTTGGAACAAAAGGAGCTGGGGTGTGTAAGCATTAGGACAAGTTAATGGACAAGTAGTAGAGGACTTTAGATGGGAGATTGATCAATAGACTTAAGCACATTGAGTTATTCCACAGTTTGCAAATGTTTTCCTCTGTGATTAGGCCATCTCCCTTTGCTAATTGGTGGTCATCAAAGTTACATACATACCCTCCCTCAGAGACTGGAAGATAGTGGGGACACTATCTTCCTTGATGATTACATTTCAAAGGAGTGGCTCTTAGGTCCTTGAGAAAGACATTTCTGGGTTATAAAATTGACAAGTAGCTTTTAGAGCTTTTTAGAGTATTTACATTTCAAAGGTGCAGAGAAGGAATTTACAATTGTAAGTTCTCTAAAGCAAATGCTCTAAGGAAAAGGGAGGTCCAGGATCCACAGTCAGGAAGAAAGCTGCCTAAGTTTAGTCAAGCTGAAGAGAATGTTAAGGCCAGCTCGGGAATAGAGTTAGTGTCCTAGTTAGCTTTTAGTTATCTTACTTCAAAATTGCATACATCTTTGCTACAGAAAAAAAAAAAAATACTGTCCAGTGAATTCTCAGTATCATGAAGGGCTGGTTTTAGAAATTCTGTTGTCTTTTCTCTACACATCTGTGGAAGCTTTCAAGTTAAAAACCCTTTTAAAGGTAATGTTATTTTCCTAATAATATATACACTGGAATATATTTATAGTCTGACTAAAAAATACAATATCCTCTAAGGCTCAAGGAAACTTTAGAGATGTAAAGGGAACATAAATAAACTTTAAAGCACTTTAGGCAAATATTTACAGTTAAGTCACTATCAGCATGTATATAAGAGTAAACATTAAGAATTAGCTTTTGGCTGGGCACTGTGGCTCATGCCTATAATTCCAGCAATTCACGTGGCTTATGTGGGTGGGTCACTTGAGACCAGGAGTTTGAGACCAGCCTGGCCAACTTGGTGAAACCCCATCTCTATTAAAAAAAAAAAATACAAAAATTAGCTGGGTGTGGTGGCACACACCTATAGTCCCAGCTACTTAAGAGGCTGAGGCACAAGAATCACTTGAACACGAGAGGTGGAGGCTGCATGAGCTGAGATCATGCCAGTCTGAGTGACAGCACAAGACTCTGTCTCAAAATAAAATGAAGAGGAATTAGCTTTTGAATGTTTGAATGTCAAATTATAATTGTCACCAAAATGAAGCATTTACTGAGATTTTCTTTATCATGAGGCATTAATTCTTACCATGAAAGAGTGAGAATGTTTGCATTGTGAATCAAAATTGTTCAAGGAATGAAAGAACCATAGGATAAAATGCAAAATCATCAATACCTTAACCATGAGGATGAAAGAGTTGCTTAAGTTCCTGAGAGATTTCCTAAGAAATTAAAAAACAAAAAACAAAACAAACAAACAAACAAAAAAAACAACTAGCCAGATTTTGAAGAAGTAGTAATGTGCTAAGACTTTTAATACTAGTGTTGCATGGGAAGAGGATGGATAAACAGGTAAACCTCTCTAGAGAAAGATTATCAAAAAAGGGAGGTAATTATCCTTAGCAAACTAACACAGAAAACGAGATACCGCATCTTCTCACTTATAAGTGGGAGCTAAATGATGAAAACATATGGACGCATAGAGGAGAACAACACCCCCTGGAGCCTGTTGGAAGGTGGAGGGTGAGAGGAGGGAGAGGATCAGGAATAATAACTAATGGGTACTAGGCTTAATACCTGCGTGATGAAATTATCTGTGCAACAAATCCCCATAACACAAGTTTACCTGTGTAACAAACCTGCACGTGTACCCCTGAACTCAAAAAAGAAAAAAGAAAGCAAACTTGGGGAAATTTGTTTTTCTTAAAAAGTAGGGAGGCTGAAGGGGTAAACAAAAGTGGTAGCCACCTGGAGATGCAGAGAGCTAAGGTGATGTTGTGTGGTTGCTGGGGCAGCATTTTTTCAGCTGACTCACAGGGATTCAGAGTGTGAGGGCAATCGAGTTACAGACTTTGATAAAGACAGTGATTTGATCTGTTTTATGATTTAGAAGGATAAATATAAATGCTATTTGGAGAGTAGATTATATGGGGTCAAGAGTAGAAGAAAGGAGACTACGCAGGAGGTTGTTTCATGATTGTAAGTGGTAAGAGTAGTTTGTAATAGGGTGATATGATGGGAGAATGGAGAAGTCAGATTCTGGGTTATTCTTAATGGAAAGCTGACTACAGTTGCTAGCAAATTTAGATATAGGGTATGAAAGGCAGAGAGGAATCAAAGAAGAATCAAAGGAGTATAGCTTGAGCAACTGGGTGAATTGTGGTGCCATTTACTGTGCTGTGCGAGACTCGGGGAGATAGAAGTTTTATAGACATGTCTTAGTCCGTTTTCTGTTGCTATAACAGAATACCACAGACTAAGTAATTTATAGAGAAAGGTTTATTTGGCTCATGATTCTGCAGGCTGGGAAGTCCTAGAGCATGACACTAGTATTTGGCAAGGTCATGGCAGAAATCATCACATGATGAGAGTGTGAGTAAGAAGTAGTGGAATGGGAGAGAGCAGGAGAACAAGGGAGTCAGTCAAAATCATCCTTTTTATCAAGAATTCAATCCCTTGGTAACTAACCCACTCCCCACAATAATGACCTTAATCTATTCATGAGGGAAATGTCTCTATGACCTAACTACCTCTTAAAGACTCCACATATTATTACTGTTACAATAACAATTACATCTCAATGTGAATTTTTGAAGGGGCAAACATTCAAACCATAGCAGGTGGGAATTGGAACTATATTTTTGGACAGGTTGGAGGTGGCCAATTGGGACTTATTTTCATGCAGATGTATGCAAAACCATGAGAGTGGATGAGATCACTTAAGAAATGAATACAGATAAATAGAGAAGAGAAGGTGGCAGGGGATTGACCACAGGGGAAAAAGAGGAAGTGGGTCCAGCCCAGGAATTTGGGAAAGACTGATCAGTGAGATGGGAGGAAAACCAGGGGAGTGTCGTTCTATTAGGCGTGTTATTGCTGTCAAGAGATCCAGAAGAATGAGGCCTATGACTAGACCATGGATTTGCTATAGGAGAGTATTTGAGGACCTTGATGAGTAGGATTTCAGGGAGGATAGTACAAACAACAGATTGAAATGAATTAAGCACAGAGTGGGAGATAAGAAAAAGGGTGACAGTGAATATAGATGCTTTTTTTTCTGAGAGATATAAAAGGAAGCAGAGACACAGAGCAGTAGAATTGGCACAATGTTTTAAAGGCAGGGTTTTTAAAAAATGGGAGATATTGTAGCATGTTTTTATAATGATGAAAATGAGGCAAAGGAAAAAATCAAAGTTTGGAAGATAGGGGATATTTTCAGGAGGAAAATCCATAGGTAGGTTGGAGGGCGTTGATTCTAGTTACAAAAGTAGAGCTTGGCCTGGATGGAGAGTGTGGGCAATTAAATATATAAGACATAGGTCAAGCTGATGGCACTTTAAAATGTGGGCTATTTTGGGGGAATAAATTGAGGGAATTATCATAAGACAGCTTCTTTTTGAACGAAATTGAATTGAGGGAATAGACTCCAAACCTAACCTCTCCTTTTTTGTATTTATCTTCAACCCCCATTATATGCCAACATTTGCCTTATAATTTCTCTTATAGCCCATTCGTTTCTCACTTTTACTTAAGAGGTCATATGACTTTACTGCATTTCCTCACGTCAATTCCTTAATCTCACTGAAGATACTTCCCTGAGGTCCCATGTGAGTTTTGCCCTAATTACACTGAGTGAGCTGAGTTTTATAAATGTGAGCCTCGTTGGCCTGCAGACCCCTTTCCTGGGACCTACTTTTTTCTGAGACTGGCAGCTGAAGTGCTGTACTGACTCCAGAGCCAATGCAGTTCACACACTGATGTCATCTGCTGATGCCTCAAAATGACACAGAGCTCTCAGACCGCACTGCTAAATGAGTTAGGTCTTCTTTTTAGTGACAGAAAAATCCTGGGTAATGTTTGGAAGTGAGTGCTGAGCAGGCCTTCCACAGGCTATCAGCCCTTGGTTTTCTTTGTTTAAAAAAAACTCTTCCCATGCATGAAGCACTGGAGGTGAATTATTGTTAGCCTGATATAATACTCATGGATATTACTCTATGACTCTAAGTTATAATAGACTTATTTATTGTCTCATCTCATTTAGTACATGTATGTGTTTTGGTGTCTGTGTGTATGATTTTATGTGTAGGTAACTATGGTAGTATCTGATAGTAGTCTCAAAGAAAAACACAACTGTGGTAGGAAGAATAATGGTCCCTCAAAGATGTCCATGTCTTAATCTTTAACTCCTGTAAATGTGTTATTTTACACGCAAAAGGGACTTTGCAGATACCATTAATTCAATGATCTTGAGATGGGAGATTGTCCTGGATTATCTAGGTAGCCAGATATAATCACAAAAGTCTTTATAAAAGGGAGGCAGGAGTGTCGGAGTCAGAGAAAGAGAGTCCATGATGGAAGCAGAGAGCACAGTGAGGTAACCGTGAGCCCAGGAACGATGGGAGCCTCTAGAAGTTGGAAAATGGAAGCTCCCCTGGAGCCTCCAGAAGGAATGCAGTCTGGCTGGCACCTTAGTTGTATATAAGATTCCTTTCAGTTTCTGACCTCTGAAACTGTAAAGTAATGAATTGGTGTTATTTTAAGCCACTATGTTTGGGGTAATTTGTTACAGCAGCAGTAGGAAACTGACACATCAGCCCAAATCCTGTCTTCCCAAAGGTATGACTTTTTCTTAAATATCCAGCCCCTCCCCCCAGTCTCCCTACCTCCCCCACATTTCTTTTCCTCTGCAGGGGATGTGAGG